GGGCCGCCTTTGCCCTGCCCCCCGGCTCTTAGCTCCCCCCTGGGTTTCTGATCACTGTCAGTAGCAGGGGGCTTCTTCCTGCTTTCCCTTTTGCCTCCCTGCATTGTGCCTACATATGCAAATTAACCGCCATCTTTATTGGCAGTTAATTTGCATATCGCCCTGATTAGCCCATGAAAAGGGTAGCGGTCGTACGCTAATTACCATGTTTCTCTTTTATTAGATTAGATATTTTTGTTCAAAGACTTCAGTCTTCCACCAAAGTTTAACTTTTTTTCTTACTTTACCTTTTATTGGTGTTTTGTGCTTAGAGGTTCCTTTGCATCATTTTTTCTTTGATGAATTTAATTCCGAAAGCAGCCTCATAAGGAGGGACAAAAAATGTGATGACCCACAAATGTGACGCCCCCCCATCCTCCACCAACCACTTCACCATCCTCTCCCTCCCTCTCAGCCTCCACCTCATCCACTCCCAAGCCTTCTTCTAATCTCTGATTCCCAAGGCACGCAAGCCTTGTTCCTCAACATATATTCTCATGAAAATCTAGCAACAGGAAGCAGGCGGTAACAGTAGAATTCACTGGAATTATCTCTATGTTCACTGGATTCATCTCTATGCCCATTACCTGTAGGCATGCAGGCCAACAGAGAGGCAGCAGAGGGAGGGAAGGAGGTAAGAGATGTGAGTATAAATGCAAATGCAACAAAACTTTATGGCCAATTACCTTCATCTCCCTGGGCTATGGTCAGCCCCTCTGCCATAAAGCCTTAGGGGTAACACAGTTCACAGATCTGCTGCAGGGGACACTGTGACCTAGCACAATCCTTTTGCTAACAGCCCAGGAATCAAGCTCAGAGAAAGGAAGTGTTTTGCATTACAGTTAACAGCCACAAACTGTAGCATGAGGATTCACGCCACGTGTTCTAATTCCGACTTCAATGTTCTTCTCATTACATTACTCTAAAGTCACTTCTCAAGTTAAGATGTTTTTAGAATGAAAATGATTTTGATTGACTTGGGAACATTCACTGACTTTGGAAATATATGTGGCCTGAAACAAGATTAAATTGTTGAGTTAAAAAAGAAAAAGTATCTCTATTTCTATGAAACAAATCAAGCAGACTACAAAGAATGTGGGCAAACATAAGAAACATGTTTTGAGCAAGTTATTTAAAACTACTAAAAATAGTTGGTACAAAATTGCAGCTCAAATACATTTTTAGAGCTAGGCCTTACCTCACCATGCTGTCAGCTATTGCTCCCCAAATCTCCCTTTTACCCTCCCAACAATGATCTCTATCATGCTCTTTCTTTATTTCCTTTACAGAAGGTTCACAAGCCGGAACTGCTATGCTTCCCTATCTGTGCACTTGTTTGTGTTCTGTGTTCCCCAGGGGCTGTAAGGGGCTTTAAACACTGTGGGGATAAAGACTTTATAGACTATTTTCACCTACGAATCCCAGTACTTGTGCATACTAAGCTCAACAAATATGTGCCAAAGAAGTAAATGAATGATGGCAGCCTCTAGTACTCAAAGCTCCTGTCCCTGTTCTCTATTTACCTCCCCTTCCCATCTCAACCTTAAAGAAATAAAAAAGCCTCTTTGCCTCTCAAGGCAGTTTCCTTATCATTTGAGACGAGTTAATGGCATCCACAAAAGGGGAGAAGTTGGCTAGGACTTACTGTTGGCTCAGTTCTCTTATCTCACATGGCTTGAAACCCCATTCTTTGGCCAGCTTTTCTTGTTGAGATGCTTCTTCTAAAAACACTATCTTTAAAAGAAAGAAAGGAAAGAATTACAAATTAATGACATGTCATTTGTCACTACTAAATATCTAAATCTTTTTAAAAGAGACTATACTATAGCTGAGTTCATTTTAAAAGGTAGTTGATACCAAATGGGCTTGAGTTTAGAGGCAAAAAGGCAGGTGTTTGCCTTTGCTTGCCCAAAGAAGTAAATTGCATGATATTTCTTCTTTTCTACCATTCTACAGATATAAGTATACCTTCAAAATTCTAATTTGGAGATACAGGGTATGAAAAATGGCTAATTGGGCCCTGGCCGGTGTGGTTCCGTTGGCTGAGTGTCCCCCAATGAACCAAAGGTGGCTGGTTCAATTCCTGGTCAGGACACATAGTCAGGTTATGAGTTTGATCCCAGTTGTAGGCAACAGATGGATTTCTCTCCCTCACATTGATGTTTCTCTCTCTCTCTCTCTCTCTCTCTCTCTCTCAAATCCATAAAAATTTTTAAAAAATAGCTAATTGATATATTTTTTTCTTTTTCAGCCCTGAAAATGATTACAGAAAACAATTGTTTATAGAAGATATACCTCATTACAGATGACTGAAAGATTTTTGTTAGGCTATTATGAGAGACTAAAGTCCAGAGGACCCTAGTAGTATATCATTGGGCAATTTATTAACACTGAATATAACTGCTCATAATTGCCTGACAATTGAGTCTTCGCATGAGCGATGTTGTTCTGATACTAGTGCCTGCCATGTTCTTCTAGTGCTGTGTAGGAGACGCAAACAGAGTGATCTTTCGTGTTAGACTTATGAGGTCTGAAGCCCATGGGCCACAGCTGGGAAACCTCAATGGGTCTCTTAGTTTTTTCTGGTCTGGTTTCCCCATCTGCAAACAGGGGGTAACACCAGCACATACTTCACAAGGCTATTGTGAGGCCTAACTATGAACATTTGAGCAAACAAGTTAGCACATCCTTGGAACATGTTACATTTTAGAAACATTATACCTATTGTTGATCATTTTTAAAGTACAGTGTGATTGCTTTCTCTATAAAAATGGCTTGCAAAGCAAGAAAGGACAGGGTCAATGAAACATATATGCAGGGAATACCCTGTTTCATTTTTAAATGTAATATTGTGAGAAAATAACATTTCATGGAAGATGAAATACTAAAAAAGCACACTTATAGATAAAATGAATCTAGTTATTTAGAAGCAAGGCAATATACTGCAAAAAAATTTGTTTATGGCACTGAAAATAAACTTTCTTATTCATTGAAGGTATCCTTTTTTAAAAAGAATATTTTTAGAAGAGAAATGAAGATGTAATTCCTACAAATAAGGAAAACTAATTTGATGATTCAAAAAATACACTAGATTAAATAAATAAATATCAAAGCAGATACATAATTAATCGAAACAGCTAACAAAGAACAGATAATGTCTGTGCTAGGTAAAGAGCCCCAGAGCGTGGAAAAGAATGGACCTCTATTTTTACAAAGCTAGCATAATCCTCATAACAAAACCTGACAAAGCACATGCAACACATACATAAACACAAACAGAATAAAAATGACAGCCAATGCCATTTGTTATTTAATAATACGGATGCAAAAATAATCTCAATGATATATTGGAAATAAAAAGCAAAAGTATATGAAAATAACAATTCAGCATGTCTGCAACATGTAAGCCTCAATTATTCTGACCAAGCAAGATACATCTTCTATCAAGGTATAACAGATTTTTAGTAGTTAGGCAAGAACCCAACTCCTTAAAGACTGCCAGAATAGCCCTAACTGGTTTGGCTCGGTGGATAGATCGTTGGCCTGCGGACTGAAGGCCTGGGTTTGATTCTGGTCAAGGGAACATGCCCGGGTTGTGGGCTCGATCCCCAGTAGGGGGCATGCAGGAGGCAGCCAATCAATGATTCTCTCTCATCATTGATGTTTCACT